AAGAAGGAGGAGGAGGAGCAGAAGAAGAATTAGGTCTTAATAAAGGCCTATATTACTAGTAAAGCATTACAAATAAAAATTATAGTCCTAGCAAACTGCAGTGGAGACAACAAAGTAGGCAAATGATGCTATTGAATTTAAAATCTAGATTGGCAGCTTCAAACTGCTTTAATGGTTATCACTAAAGCAAGTTTGCATAGACATCGCAAACTGTGCATAATATTTATTTATAAGAAAATTCAGATGAGGCATGTAGTTAGAGACGCTGCTCTGTCACTCGATTATTAACCTCTGAGTTCTGTCCCTGGCTCAGGCCCAGGAAACAAATTTGCAGGTTTTTAACACCACAGTGTTAATGACAATGAAGACCACAGTGTTAATGCACAATGCATAAGTACAAAAAGGTATTAGATTATAAAGGGATAAGATTTTAAACTGTACAAAAATAGAAACTTCATTATTTCCCATGCGTATCTGAAAGGGCAGCTCTTTGCACAGTAGCATGGAGGCCACTGATCTAAAGCCTATAATCCCAACAGTGAGGAAGGCTGAGGCAGGACTGAAAATTCAAGTGTCACCTGGACCACTTTGTGAGACCCTGTCTCCAAAAAGTAAAAAAGGAACTAGGGGGCTGGGGCTGCAGATTATTAAAAAAAAAAATTAAAAGGAGAAAGGGACTAGAATGCTATGTGTCCAATACTCAGTGCCACAATAAATAAATAAATAAATAAATAAATAAATAAATAAATTTTAAAAAACAGATGATGAGGGGCCGGGGAGATGGCTCAGTAGAATAAGCACTTCCCTGGTAAGTGCAAGGGCCTGAGTTCAATCCCTGGTTCTGCCAAAAACAAAAACAAAAATAAAAAACAAAACAAAACAAAAAACAGACGATGTCATAAAATCTTTTCTAGGAGCATTCTTTCAGGTAATATTTGCTCTCAGTTTTACGGACACTCACACTGTGTGCATTTTAAATGAATTTAAAATTGATGTAGGTGCTGGAGAGATAGCTCAGTGGCATAAGCACCTGCTTGGCAAGCCCAAGGTCCTGAGTTGGATCTCATGTATGAAAAAGAAAGAAAGAAAGAAAGAAAGAAAGAAAGAAAGAAAGAAAGAAAGAAAGAAAGAAAGAAAGAAAGAAAGAAAGCAATGTGCCCCTTGCCTGGAGCCTATGACTCTAGGAAAATTTCTAGGTGAGATTCGCATTCTTCACATTGTAGCTATTCCAACAGAGGCGTTTTCATTAGGCTTCTGATGAGAACATCATTTCTAAAAGTGAGAATGTGCCCCCGTGATTCCTTTTCCTCCATGCCCAGGAGGATGTATCTGATCGGCCATTATTTAGCTGAAACTACATGAGACCTGCGAATTTGTCTCCTGGGCCTGAGCCAGGGACAGAACTCAGAGGTTAATAGTCATGTGACAGAGCAACATCTCTCGATACTTGTCCTGTAGCTCTGTGGTCTTAAAAGAGGAATTAACTAGCCTCTTTGTGACTTTTGTGACTGGAGGGGGCTTATTGTCTTGTTTATACATTGTTGTTGTTTTGTTTTGTGTGTGTCTTCTTGAGACAGCATTTTTCTATCTGATTCAGGCTGGCCTTGAACTCAGTTTGTAACCCAGGCTGACCTTGAACTCCAAGCCAGCCTCCTGACTCAGCGTGCAGAGTGCTGGGATTACAGGCACGCACCCTCAAGCCCAGATTTTATTCTTAAAGCAAGGCGGATAAACAGTCTCTCAAAAGTTCGGCTGCAATGCCTGCCAAACACTAATTCACAGTGCATACTAAAATAATGTTTGAAAATTATTAAGACTTAGGGCTAGCCAGATAGCTCAGTGGATTAAAGTGCCTGCTTATGCAGACGCAGGGGCTGGGGTTCGATCTCCAGCCTGCTGTGCCAGCCTTGCCCCTGAGGTGCTCTGAGATGGTGATTGAGACTGGGCATGGTGGCGTGTGCCTATAATCCCAGTGTTTGGGAGGCTGGAAACAGGAAGATGACTACGAGTCCAGTCTCTGTAGTGAGACCCTGTAGAACCTGTACTAAATACCTGAAAGAAAGGAAGAAAATTATTAAGACTTAGATTCCTCTCCCTGTGTTGTGAAGGTTTTTCTCCCTCCGCCTTACACCAGAGCTAGAAAACACCAGGGCTACGTTCTGCCTGAAGCTACAAAACGGATGCCGTGGGGCATGTTCTAAGCAGCCGGGCTGTTGGCAGGGAGCCACTGCTCAGGAGTGAGGTTTGATTTCTATGATGTCCCTTACATCCCAGACACTGCCCAATATCTAATTTGAAACCTGAAAGAAGTAGAAGAGACTTGTCCCTTTTTTCCCCTGTAAGTTCTGCAGTGCGATATCAAATATTAAGATATTCCAACTTTGCCCCAGCAATGCATTGCTTTATTATACGCAACTCTGGTGAATATGTAACCCCCTAAGGCTCACTGAGTGAAAAGAAAATCTAAGAGGTTAACATTTGCTTTATTTGGGGCTCAGCCACTGGCAAAATGAGGTGCGTTCAAGAGCCAAGCTTATGTAGTCTTGTAACTTTGTTTATTCCTTTGAGCACACTGATAGTTTTAAACTTACAAAACCCTCAACATGGAAGGAAAAGACCACAGCTAAGAAAAGCCAGGATTTGAAACTAGGAAACAGAAAGCTAAATTTGAGAAAAGAACTAAGAAAGAAGTAAAAAGTAAAAATCCTGCGTCTTCCAGGGGTCACTCAAGAAGGCTAAAGCCCCTGGCATTAATAGAGCCAGAAGGAGAAAGCAAGGGCGCCTATTCACAGTATTTGCTTCATTCTTATTGTTCTTCTTATTTTGTCAAGGACTAAATTGAAATGGAATCTGTTGAATTTTGGGGAGGTTACTGGAGAGAAAAGATTTCAGTAAAAAACATCTCTGCAAAAGTCTTTCCCAAACTAACGGCCGCTAGGCTGTATAAAACAGGACGAAAGAGGACTGTCTCAGTGAAAACTCCTGGTGCTATTAAGAAATTGAAGCAAAAAGTACAAAAGCTCCATCAGGTTTCAGTGGAGACTTCTACACTGGGGGCCTTAACGCTCTCAGTGAAACTGTGACCCCGATCAGTGAGCTCGAACATTTCTTGGTTGCAACTATCTTCATCTCAGTGTAGATATAATGATTTATTCATAAACCTGAGTCCGTTATGCATACATGGAAAGCAAAGTGGATAATTAATATAAGGGGATGAAATGCACAAGTAAATACAAACAGAAATTCTGACATTTCTGCTCTCAAGCCTCAGGGAGCTGTCTTAGCCCATCCCTAAAGGCCATTGGTGAAACTGAAAGCTCGGGCAACTTTAAGGGTAGTTTTAGAAGTGCTCTTGCATCTCCCTTTTTCCTACAAGTCTAGTTTTAGGGGACCAACCCGTCCTGCAGGAGCAGGGCTCGGTGTCTGCTCTGCACTGCTCTCCTCTCCCCACTGAAGTGTCTGTTCTCAGTCAGGATTTCTGCTTTCTTTCCTCCTGATTTTCCACCCTGGCCGCTCCCAGGCCCTGCACAGCCTCCCTTTCTGAAAAGCTCACCGAATGCTGCTCTCTGGTTTGGGTGTAACAGCCTGCTCCCTCTCCCTCTTCCTCTCCAAGAGGGACTCTCCAGCTCTGCAGCAGTCGGTCCCCTTACCTGCTGTCTCTGTAACTTGACTTCCTTACGAAGTTGCTCCACTTCCATCTTCAGTTTTTCTTTCTCTGGCAAATCCTCGATGTGCAGAGCGGGCATTGTCGCCCCGTGGTGGAGCCCTGGGCGCCTCCCGAGGTGACTGCTGGCCTGGCCACCCCGCGGCCTGACAGGACGTGACGCCCCCGCCCCCGGCTCGGCTTCCTCCGGACTTCTGCTCAGCCAGCCCTGCCGGACGCCAGGACCTCTCGCACGCGGCTTTTGCTGGAGTCGGAGCAGGGCGGCCTGCCAGGCCGGGCAGGAGAAGGCGCAGGACCCCCACCGGGAGGCTGGGTCAGACCCCTGGACCGCTGAGTCTTGGGGTTTTTTCCTTTTCAGATCACATCTGGGCTTTGTTTATGAAACTAAGGAAAAAGGTCTTTATCCAGCAGGAAACAACAGCTCTTCACCTTTCCAAAAGTTGTAAAACTTGGCAGTGTATAGGTTTTCCATCTATAAAGTGGGCAAGCTGCAGGCTTGGGCTAAACTCCCCTGAAAAGTGAAAGGAAGCTGTCATCTCAGAAACACCCACCAGCACCCTGGTGGTGTTCACCCCTGCAGGCCTGAAAGGGCTTTGTAAAATTTGGGGAGAGTAAGGAGAAGGGGGTTGGGATAGGAGCAATGTTTTCAAGCTGCGTGGACCTTCTCTGTCGTTAAATAATCATCTGTATCCCAAACCACAATACATGTTTGCCCTTTCATGTTTTTGCATTGGTTGGAGGATACGAAGTTTGTGTGAGCACAGAGAAGTAGCAGTCCTGAAGGTTTTGCCGGCTCCCCTCTCCTCATCCTCCACGGATCCCGAATTCTTGATTCCTACTCCCTGTAGGTGGTGACGTCATCGCTCAGTACGGGATTGTTTGCTTTCTGGAAAAGGACGCTCGTCTAACTGTTGCTTTCCTACAGCTAGAAAAAGTGGCTGGCGGGAAGAAATGCTGACACACTATGTAAACGTTTCCTTTGGGTATGAGCTAATGAACTAAAGCATTCTTTTTTAAAATTTAATATTTTTTTATTTTGACATAACACTTAACCAATTATCTCTAATATATAAAAAATTTAATCTAGTTGGTCATCTTTAAATTGGATATACAAGTTTTTTTGTTAAAGGCAGAAGTTTGAATCTGAGAAAAAAAAAATCTCATCACAATTAGCAACCTTTGTTTTATATTTTGAAAGACCTGATTAACTTGAATCATAAATATACTTAATAAGGGCTGGGAAGATGGCTCAGTGGAATAAGTGCTTCCCTGGCAAGCGCAAGGGCCTGAGTTCAATCCCCGGTTCCGCCAAAAAACAAACAAACAAAATAAATATACTTAATATACTTTGAGATTAACAGAAATGAATTACCATACACATGTGAAAACCTTTGGTTTTTGGTTTTTTTTTTGTTTGTTTGTTTGTTTTTCAAACCAAATTGGTAGGATGGTTTCCATAATTAACACATTGCATACATTCTTTCTAGTGGTTAATTGCTGTACAAGATGTAGACATGATATCCTAACACCATTAGAACAAATCACTCTATTCATTAAGAGAATGCAACTATATATCTATCCTAACCACTTTGAATACACAGATACAAAATGGACATTCATCTGTATCCCCCCTTTTTTTTGTTAAGTTCCATAATTTAAATATTATAGGTGTGTAAACAGCAAAATATTCTAAAAGAGTTCAGTAGTCCATAATAGTATTGGGTCTTCCGCTTCATTGGCAATGTCAGAAATTGTTGACCTGAGTCCCCTATAGCTCAAAAGAAGAAGAAGAAACCCACCAATGTTGCAAAACCTTTCACAGCAGTCAAATATTCTTCTTTCTCTCCAACAATAACCTCCTAAGGTTAAGGAAGATTTGGAGGCTATAGTTAATTATTTTGGAGTTCCTGACCTTAAATACCAGGAACTGTTCTCTGCTTTCCTGTAATGTCAGGTGTGCAAGGTGACTGGCTCTGGCATTTTTGATTTCTGGTTTTCAAAGCTGATTATTTTCCAGTTAAACCTTATTTTCAGGGAAGCAGGGATACATCAGGTAGTTTGACTCATTTTAACAAGGAACATAGTTACAAGTTTGTTTCCTATATTTGGAATGCCAGGACCACCTAGATTTAGAAAGTTTTCCTCAGGGGAGATGGCTCAGTAGAATAAGTGCTTGTGCAAGTGCAATAAGCCTGGCAAGTGCAAGGGCCTGAGTTCAATCTTCAGTTCTGGAAAAAAAAAAAAAAAGAAAGAAAAGAAAAAGAAAAAGAAAAGAAGAAAGTTTTCCTCATTTGCTGAAGTTTCCCTTCTTAGTAAATAGTGAATCAAGTCAAACTCAAATGTTTCTCCAGAATGGATTCATTGTTCCTTACATTCCCTATTTCTTAACTTTAAAAGATTGATGTAAAATAGCTTAAACAAGCAAATGAAAGTAAAAAGCATAATGGACCTTAATTTAAAATAAGTCCAGCATCAAATTTAAGCCAGGTGGATAAGTAAATTAAGGTGAGTACATCTGTTTTATGTCGTAAACATAGAATTATTTTGACCTGAAAGTTTCTACATCTAGTTCTATGAACGGTTAAATATTTATACAGCCATGTTGGTTCTTTAACTTTTTCTATGGTATTATGAGGCTTAAATTAGACACAAATATGCAATAGTCTACTGTTGTTTTTAGTTTGCATCACCATATAAGTTCAAAGTGATAGCCAGAGAGATAGCTCAGTGGCATACACGCCTACCTGGCAAGCTCAAGGTCCTGAGTTCAATATCTGGTACACACACACACACACACACACACACACACACACACATTTACAGTGATCAGTAAATTAATGTAAAATGAACTGTGAAATGTTGAAATCCCATACTCACACGGCATTCTGAAAAATAGTTTATTGTTGCTTTCAGTCAAAGCTAAAATGATGGATACACTTAAAACAAAAAGCAGGAGTATGTAATCCCCTATCTTTAGGCATTGAATTTACCTTTGAAAGAACAGTATTATAACTTGTGATGTATTCTTACAGAACTAGTCTATTAGCAATATTAATTCTCATCATGTATAATTGGTCATTTTCCTTGCACAGTTACCTGTTTTCCTGGTATTCATAAAATACTTTTAGGAATTTACAAAGTTTGCCATTCACTTTGCTTTGAAATCTGTGTAAAATCAAATTGGGCTAACTAAAAATAATGGAGGGTTGCTTTGCTATTGTTCGTGCTAAAGCCTAGATTGTCTGTGTATGTAAAATACCTTCACAGTGCAACCATCTCAAATGACGTATTGTAGAGTTTGTAATTCATCTTCCCCAGGGACATCAGAAAGTTTTGCGGCTGGGCCAAATGTTAAGCATGTGCAGGAGCACTTCCTGTTTCCCTGTACTTAGTCATTACTTTTAACCTAGTAACCCCAGTCTCAAAGTAACAACTTCTGAACAATACACAGTCACAGCCTGTGATAGCTGCTCTGCAGAGGCACGTCATGACTTCATTTCCTTCCTGTCTTGGCCTTTCTTTTCCTATATTTCCTTCCCATAGATTCTCTCTTATTCAAAATTCTGCTGACAGTCTGTGTTTTGCCCTACCATTGAGCTCATTGTTCACTAATCCATAGACTCTGAATCAGCTAATGTAAACATTTCACAAGGGCTGTCTTAGTCTGCTCTTTGAGTTAAATATTTATTAAGTCAAATTGTAGAGACAGTTCATCAGTTGATATGGCAGTGTCAAAGATGAACAGAGTTTCAGGCTTGGGAAATTAGCAACATACCCCTGAAACTAAGGTAACTATAAAAATTACAGTAAATATAGTACTGTTAAATAACTTAAGAGACACATACATTTCAGGTAGTGAGAAAGCAGCTATTCTCAGAAGGAGAGAAGGATTTCAAAAGGCTGTAAGGAGGTGGGATAGAGGGATATTTCAGATAAAGGGATCCATAATTCAAATTTCAAGTAGGAAATATGTCAAGGATTATTTGTAGACTATAGGACATTTATAAGATTTATAACAATAGAGGACATTTATTAAGACTTCTTTCAATATACCTATCTCTGATTGGAATTCAACTATCAAAATAGGGTCTGTCCCCCCAAAAAAGATCTGTCCAAATCCATCATTTTATACATAACAAATAAAAGAATTTATCCATAGAGTTACTAGTTTCCTGTCCAAAATTCTCAATAATGTGGAAGAGCAAGGATTTTAAGTTAGAATCATCAGGCTCCAAAAATCTCCCTTGACTTGTAAGGTTAAAAGCTAGAAGTAACTGTTGGTTAGGACTTGCTTTATAAGTTGCTAAATGCCATAATGAAGGCTTTGTGTTTATTTTAGTCAGAAAAAAAGGATATGTAGAATAATCCATTGAATAAACACTAACTGACAGATGGGAGATTCTAGAAGACAGACCACAGCTAAATAAATAAGTGAAATATACAGTGTTGGATGGTGTTGGGTACTACGGAAGCAAACAGAGGATCTGGAGGAAACTCACTGGGGAAGTGGACAGGAAATGCTTTAGTCTGGGGAGAGGTGTTTTGTAATTTTAAAGCAGGGGAAAAGAATTTCTCCTCAAGAAGAAGAAAAAGAAAAAAAGCGGTTGTACCGTTCATCATCTGAGGTGGAAAGCATGTAAGATGTGTGACGGAGTGTGTTGCTGGACTGTGTGGCCACAAGCCCGGAATCTTGATCTAGAAAATTTTCTGAGTTACTTCTCTAAGTCTTTGTTCTTCTGCTTATCAGAATGAGAGACAGGATCAACAGACACGTGCTGAGCATTTACTATGGTCAGAGCAGGTGGGCACGGAGCCGAGCTTAGGATGACTTTGAGTTCACTGTGGCCTCCAGCATGGCACTGTAAATTCAGGTTAATCATCAGAGAACTCAGAGAAGAAGTGGTTTCTGATTTGGGGTACTTACACCTGTCATTTGCTATGGAAGCAGAGGCAATGTAGTAACGGCAATGTCTAGAGCATTTGTCTTCATCCTGCTATGGAAAGTGTGCTACTGAGGTTCTTTATGGGGCTGGAATGGAACAGAATTTATATTAAAGGATTCTAGAAATTTCACCCACTTCCTTTCCCATTAATGATACTAGTTAGTACTTCCTGGGTCTAACTATGTGTCAAGCAATATGCTAAATATTACATTGTACTACTAAATATTTAAAACATAAAAATATGGGGGTGAGGGGAGAGAATCATTAGTGTCTTTATCCTCCAGTAAAAATATCTGAAAACTACAAAGAATCAAAATATGCATATAAAGTCAGTTAGGCAGTAAAGTGTCAGAACCGGAACACCCTGTGTCCTGAGTTTGTGGTCGTAATTTTCATTCAATCACTGGTCAAATTCAATGTGCTTTATGACCAAAAAGACTGAAGTGTTAGTTCAATTTGCATTTTGGAGTAGAACAAAGGTCTTTGCAGTACATATCTTGCATATATAAGTTATCTTTGTATCCAAGGAATAGACTTTCTAGTTCTTTGAGTAAAACAAATAGTTGGGAAGATAGCTCAGGAGTATAAGCACCTGCCTGGCAAGCACAAGTTCATGAGTTCAATTCCCGGTAACTCATTCCCCCATCAAAAAAAAAAAAAAAGAAAGCTGTCTGAGTAAGAGAAGATATTGATTAAAATATTTCTAGCTATAATTATGACGATAAAATTTATAGTATAACTACTCAGAAATACAGTTTAACTATAAAAGTCTGCCTACCTTTATTCTAAAGGGAACATATAAAAGGGAATAAAAGTGAAATGAAGAAATATAAAACATTGCCTATATGCCCTGCAGCTAGAGACTCACTCATAAGTATAGTAACTATTTTTAAGGAAGGCTCCAGAAAAACATAAATTTATATGTTATCATATCCTGGTATTTATTAAAAGTTTACATATGCAAATTTCAACATTTATGTAGATTTTTAACTATATATAAGAAAAAATTTACATTGTTGTTAGAATTCCACATATTCCAGGGATATTGTTTTTGTCTTCTATGAAATCACACAGCCTCCTTTGAGCTCCTTGAAGGGATTTTTGTCCTCTGGGATACCTTTTACCAGTGGATCCTCACCAGATCTTTCTTCAATATAATCCCTCACTTCTTCACAACATTTGGATACCTTAAGAAGAAGGAGAAGAAGATGGCTCATTTAGTTTGAAAGAGAATAGTGCTGATTCTGAGAGCTTATTTGTTATAATGAATGTTCATACTGTATCTTTTTAAGTGACTCTGCTTTCTGTCAGCATAAATATCTATGTAACTTTACAGACAGAAGAAGACAGAGAGGTTCTCACCCTTCTCTCCTGGGTATCTCCCAACAGTACCACCAGCTGGACCCTCCAGCTAAGGAGTCCCATCAAACCACCCTCTGCTTCCTCAGAGTAGTCCAGATACATGGATCAGAACACAACAGGAGACAGTCACTGGAACACATATTAGGGATGTTACCAGAGTATCAAGTATACCTCTTTCCTCTCTCTAAAAGTGTGACTTTCAGAGGTTAAAAGAGATAACTAATGGTTCACTTCCAAGCTCCTCAACCATCCTGGGTTTTATAAGATGCACTTTCCTGCAGACTCATCTGGAGTAACTGGTCACGATGGCACAGGCTGTGGGCTCCAAGGGCTCAGGGCCTTAGGTTGATTTGCCCAGAATAATCCAGGCCTCTGGCACAGAGCCTGCTGAACTGAACCATGTTTTTAATTTATTAGTTTGTTCCCAAGTCATCTACATCAGTCCAGTAATGATTAGGGAGAAAATAAAGCTTTCATGTTTTAATGGACTCAGAGAAGCAATTCCATTAAGAGACCATTTCCTAAGTCATACAGCCAACTTACTAACTTTTTTAGGTAAAATCTTTATGACTGATATAGTACAAATGCATGTATGTATATATATGTATGACTGAATGATTGTGTCCCCTAAAATTTATATGTTAAAATTCTAGCTCACAAGTTGATAGCATTAGTAGGCAGAGCCTCGAAGAGGTGATTAGCTCACAGTGGCAGAGCCTTCTTGAGTAGGATTAGGGTTCTTATGGGAAACCAGAGTGCTCGCTCGCCCCTTTACTCATGGAAGAACACATTGTAAACAAGGTCCTCTATGAAAGAGGGAGCAAAGCCTTCATCCTGGACTTCCTAGTTCCCAGAACTGTGAGGAAAGGAAATCAGCTTCTACTGTCTGTGAGCCATGCAGTCCATCGTGGGAGGCACAGAGCAAGACGACATGCTTGTGTACGGGGATGTGACTAGGTGTAGGGCTATGCATATGCGGAGAGAGAGACAGAGACAGAAACAGGCAGAAAGACACAGAGAACCTCTGGAGTCTAATCCCAAATTACTTTCACTTCTAAGAGGAAGGTGACATGAAATAATGTAGCGAAGGAAAAAGCAGCCCAGGTGTATGTGATGTTTACCTAAAATAAAAATTCCAAAATGAATTTAACCTGAAGACAACTAAATCTCTGACAAAACAACAAGCTAGAGCATAAGTAATGAAATGACTTTTGAATAATTCAAAAGAAGGGAAAAGTAATTCCTCTCTCTTATGCCAAAAGTTTATTTTCCCAAAATTCTACAGATGATGACTTTAAATTGCAATGTGTTTTCCAAGCTTTTATGCTGGCTATGGAGTTAACGTTATCTTCACAGCAAAACATGTTTTGCCTGTACAGAAAGGGCAGCAGGGGAGTTTGAGTCAGCTACACACACAAACAAGCCAATTTTGACCAGGAGTAAGAGTTCTGAGCAAAGTATGAAAGGAATATACACTCCCTTTTTCAGTTTGTACTGATAAAAAGATACCTTTTAAAATAAAAAATGTGCCGTTATCACTAGCAATGGAGGATTTGTCCTATTACCTACTAAAATGAAGAGATTTCAGTACATTTTCCAAAATTAGTCACCATTTGGTGGAAACTCCTCATTCCTTTGCTATTTCTGTTCCTCCTAACGGAGGACAGCTCTTGGTAACCATTTTCAAGATCGGTCAGATGCTTTTAGGAGAAATCAGTAAGTTCTTGCGCCTGAACTCGCCTTATTGGCTTGGCAAGAGAAGAATCAAGTGTACTCATTTCTTACTGACCCTGACAAGGCTGGGAAGTTCTAACTTAAAATATATCAACGGCATCAAAATATTGCATCAGATAGAAAGGTTACCAATTTAGAAAAGTAAAAACAAAATGCTTTCATGCATTTTTCATTTTGAATGCTTGGCTAAAATGTATGTGTCTTATTTTCCACTTCTTCATTTTTTCTTTCCTTCCTCCTTTCTTTCTTCTTTATAAAATAATACTTTTAAAAATTAGAACATTTCTTAGCTTACTGATCATTAAAAAGAACAGACTATAGGCTGACCTCTGCCTAAGGAACACAGTTTTCCAAGCCTTTGATTGGGCATCTAAATTATGATAATTAACTGATCATTAACTTTCTCAAGCTTGGAGGAATTTTTACACAAACTGCTTATGTTTAAGCACATCACTCTGTTCTGGTAAGGGGGAGGAGAGAGAAAGAGATAGACAGAGGGAGAGAGAGAGAGTGAGGCAGAGAGAGTGAGGCAGAGAGAGAGCAGAGAGAGGCAGAGGCGCAGAGAGAGGCAGAGGCACAGAGAGCGAGAGCGAGAGCGAGAGCGAGAGCGAGAGCGAGAGCGAGAGCGAGCGAGCGAGCGAGCGAGCGAGAGAGAGAGAGAGAGAGAATAGTGTATGTTTTCTATGCTGTTTTTCTCCCACAAGCTTTCTCATTTAATACAAAATCCAAGTGAGTACAGCACTTACGAGCATTCTCTCCAAAGTCACCTCTTTCTTGAGCTGGTCAACTTCCATCTTCAATTTGTCCTTTTCTGTCAGATCCTCAATATTAATCACTGGCATTGTTTGCCTGTTGGAGAGGTAAAACGTTAGCACATATACCTGAGCTCTGGATTCACTTCGCTTCACTCTTAGCCAACACTTCTTTCTGCTCTTAATTTACCAGATAAGCTGTTCTTTGTTTTATGTTAAGTTTCCTGTGGTAATCACGGTCTCATGAGCTTTCTCTGAACTATTCCACGACTACTGCAAACTTACCTTGGGATTTGAAAGCTTCTTCATAATCTCTACTAATATGATTAAATCAAGCATTTGACCCAACACCTGCCAGTAGGTTAGTGGGAGGGACCTGTTTATTCCATGCATAGTCTGAAACACTGAAGGTTCCTCTTTCTCATGGTCTTTTGCACAGTGTAAACTTGCAGCTTTTCAACTCTCACCTCCAGTGTCAAAGACCTCCACCATAAAATTTGTGCCCTGTGCCTGAGTTGGGGTCACTATCAGTGCTGCCAGTTAATCCCATAAAATGCTAGAGTTCTTAATCTGGTACCAAAGAAAACTATATAAAAAGTATCATTATAAAATGCACTATGACAATAAAAATTCACTTCTTCCTGGCTAATCCATTATAAGTAATAGACTGAAGTATGAACCAATACAATGGAAATATAGCAAATAACCAATCTTCTTAATCAGAAATAAGCTAGTACATGATTAGAAGTGTTTCCCTAAACAATACCAAGAGATTTTGTGTAACTGTCATAATGAACTGAATGAGAATGATGAGAACATCTAATAGGTTAAAGGGAAATAGGGAGTCTGCTCTATCAATGTACAGAATATAAGACCAACAGACTCTCTCCCCTCTTGGCCTTCTCTCTTCTCAACTGGATCCATGTGTAACAGAGAACATGTTTAGTAGCTAATTGTTTTCCCATGAAATTGCCAGAAAAGCATTTATTGTAGCCAAATGGCATCATGCCTCTAATCTCTCCTTTTCTGGGCCTCTTTTTATTCCTTGTTTGTCTCCCTAGTCCAGTTTTTATAAGGAAGTATTTTTTATGAAACTTGGCATGCAGATCACATATATTTCAAAGCACAACAGCTACATGAAAATATACCCGCAATTAATTTATTTCCTTGTATTTGTGTGGCATTTTAATGTCCTTTGAGGAAATATTTTCTCTCTTCCTAGCCTTAGAATATTCAGTTCTTTTCTGTGATAAAGGGATTATAGGATATTTTGAAGAGTAAATAGCTGCATATGCCAGCACAGAGCTAGAAAAATCATCCTGGGAGTGCTTGTACCCAGTGTACTTCCATATCTTTAATTTTATGATTCTGTTCTTGAACATACAATATGACAATTAAAAAGTCATTTGTTCCAGGACAAGAACGGTTTGGTACTTGAAAACCAGTTCTCAATCTCATTTTCACCTCCTTCTTATCCCTGTTAAACTAGATATAAAACTTCACAAGCATTTTCACAACTAAAGATTACTTTTATATGTTAATATCCTTTGCACAAGTTTCCTCCAAGTGGAGACTTCTGACACTTCTGGGTGCGTATGAACCATTTCAGTTTTTATAGTGATCACACTGGGTTATTAAGCTTGGCTATTATTCTTTAAAGAAAAGACCATACCTTGTTAAAATAGGAGGCTATGTGAAGAGGCTTTGACTTAGCAGAGCTTGGATAAGAGTTAGGATTTTCTAATTTAGGAAGTCCTACTATATTAAGGAGAGCACAGTGATCCCTAATACTTGCTAGTTCTATGACTTTGACCAACTTACCTAATGCAGCTCCATCTCAGTTTACTGTGAAATAGGAGCAACAATATTTTGTATATTTTAGATTTGTTGGAGATTAAAGAGGGATGATGAATCTATGGGCTGTACAAGAACGTGTAACATAGAACGAACATTCATTCTGTGTTAGCTGCTGATATTCATTCTGTGCTTATAATACTTTAGACTGTGCTTATGTGAGCGCGTCTGGTAGGTGAGTTACAGGTGCTCATAAGGGATTTTCTGTGTAGATGATTTGATATCTTTACCAACATACAGTGCAGATGTTGCTTTTGTTCCTCTGAGGTTCCTATTCCAGTTTAAGGTCAACAACAGCTGCCATGATCGACGATCTCAGACAAACCTGCGCAACTCGGCCCTTAGCTGTTGGGGACCATTTCACCTGGTTGCATCTGGAAGATTATGCTGTGTTTGGCTCTGTGTGTAAGCAAATGCCAAACATCAGGGAGTCTGAGTACCCAGCCCCCTTGACTCTGGCCTGAAAAATCTTGGTTATGATTAAGAAGTTTCCCAGCTCCAGAAATGGCAGTGTGATGACAGACTTCTGAAATGTCGCTTTTTATAATGTGTCCTGCTTTGTCTTTCTTTCCTCACTTCTTTAGAGGTTTTCCCTGTGAGCCTCCTCAGAATAAGTCATTTAGAAAAGAATCCCCATCAAAAGCTCTGCTTCTAGAAAAATCCACCCCAAGACTCACTGAATTAAAAATTAAAAAAAGACTCACTGAATTATCAAGACCTTGACAAGACAGATTAAACCTCTCGTAACTTTCATGCTCTCATGACTGCCCATCTCTCTGTACACTATGTGGTATACTGCAGAGAGGCAAGAGTGTGGGTTAAGTTAGCTAACCTGTGTCTACAGATTCACCAAATAAAAACACTATCTAAATTTACTATTTTAGCAACTAATTTTTCAATTTTAAAATATGAAGATTTCAGTTTTAATAATGCTTAACCCTAAAACTCTCCATTTCAAGGAAGTATATCTCTACAAGATTCCAGAAAGTTTGCAAATTTGATACCACATGTCCTGTATGAAAAGAGTCAAAAGGTAGAGATGCTAGTTTCCACCTCTCAAGGAAGCTCAGACAACCAAAGAAGGATAGCATGCATTACTTGCACGGAGACTCCAAATGTTCAGAATTACAGTGAAGTAAAGAGTTCAAAGAATTCAGGCATGGTGTCATCTACTTTCCCCTCTGTCCCATTTTGCAGATGAAGCAAATGCACTGCAGGGTTCAGATGATCAAAAGAAAACAATGAATGGCGGAAAAGCCAAACTTACCACGTGGGAATTTATTTTCTATTCTGGAGTATTTTCCACTCTGGTACAGTTCTCTCAAACTAGTGTAAGAGCAGCCTTTTTTTCTTTTTGACCTAGGTTAAAAGAGTGGAAAGAGTGGACCTGTTTTCTTTTTCATGTCCCAGAATTATGTAAAGGTAAATTCAGTGTTGATGACAAATGGTACTAAATCTTCTTCTTTGTCCTCATAAGATTTTAGGTAGAAAAGTCCTAAGAGAACCTAGATCAGATTATTGGCCCTATTACCAGCCAATCCCAAACCACTGTCAGTCAGAGTTTAAGAGAGAGATAGATGATTCTTTGCCAAAGAAGCTATGCTGGCTGTTATATCTCATCCTAATTTTTACAATATTTGCTGTTACTTTTTCTCTTCTTCTACATTCAGTAGATGATCTATACATCAAAGAAATAGAGTGGGAGGGGAAGAACAATCTTACACTTGTACCTATTCTTTTAGTGGGAACAACACTACCTCCTAGGGATGAATTTTGAAAATATTGTGAGGTTGTTATGGTTTCCAGTAGTTTCTGGGTATAAATGAAGGATGCCAGGCACTTTTTTTCAGTAGAACAGTTTCAATAATAAATACATTGCACATTGTCATCTCAGTGATTATTCATTTAACAAGACGCAGACATGACATCCATCCACAAACACTATTAGAACAAATTTTATTCATTCAATTAAGAGAATGTAGCTGTATATCTATCCTAATTATTTTGAATATACAGATACAAAATGTTCATTCATTTGTATTCCCTTTTTTTATTTAGTTTTGTTAGAGAAGGATATTCCATCATCATTTAAATATTGTAGGTGTGTGAATTCAGAAAATATTCCAATATAGTGCAGTAGTTCATAATAGTAGTGGGTCATCCAATATAGTCCAGTACTCCATAATAGTAGTGAGTCATCCCCAGGACTGGCAGTGTCAGAAGTTGACCAGGGCCCTTTACAGCCCAGCATACCAACATGGCTTCACCCCTTATACCTTGTTTATATACTTTCCTGCCAGATGGTTAAGACCAAGACAAAGCAAGACCTATATAACAAGAAATGTAACTTTTATATCTGATAAGATCAGTCAAGTACCCTCAAGATTTATCCTGTAACCCTGTCCTGTAATTTGTAGATCTTTTGTCAGTGTTAGCCATGTGGATGAGTCATACCCATTGCTTGAGCAATTTACTCTCTGTGAAAGCCTGAGAGAATGTTTTCTCTCCATGTGGATGTCAGGTACTTTACATTTTTAAAGACTCTAATGCATGTGATAAACTATCTCCAGTCCAGCATAACTCTCAAAATCCATGTTAAACATTCACATAAACAAAAACTGTATTTCTAATCATTTGGAGCTTGAGCCCAACTTCCTTTTATATATCAACAAGAAATATGTCATAGCTTTTATGTACACTAAATTTTACAATCATATAAATATTTTCTAAACAAATAGGACCTGCCATGTCCTTGTGGTTCTGCACATTAAATGCACCTGACCATTTCATTATGAATAGTCATGATGAAGACTTTCATATTGAAGTCTATCTTTATTCATTGTAGTATACCTCTTTTTTGTTTATGAGTGGAATTCAGACACAATATTGATGGTTTGAGATGGGCTGTGTTGAAGTATTTTTTATATAAACTGGACTCTTGGTTAGATGGGATTAATAGTTCTACAGCCACAAGTAAAAGGAACAAGAGTTGTAGCTTTTGGGTCTGATAAGGTCAGTGAAACCCCCTTAGGATTTATCCTGAGATCCTGTACCTCAGATTGTAGATCCTTTGTCAGTGTGAGCCATGTGGATGAGTCATGGCCATTGCTTGACCAATGTGCTCTCTGTGAAAGCCCGAGAGAATGTTTTCAGGCTTCCCATGTGACTCTCCTTAGGCACACTCTAAATCATCGATCACTTTCCTCTTTGGCCCCATAATCTCCTTGATCAGAAAATTTGAGACACTACTAAGTTACGTGATGTTATAGTACAAGTTCTCATGTCCTGAGTCTTAATTGACCTTGGAAGGCTAGGGCCAAAAGGTTGGCTTTCCTTGCGGCTCTCCTTTTTCTCTAATTTTGGTCTGCAAACTTAGGTTGTTAAACCTCCCAAAGAGAAGTTTATTGTTATTACCAT